AAAAAAAAATGAACACACATGAAAAGGACAAATCAATTTCAGAACAGTAGGAGGATGCAGGGAGGTAAATGTCTGTGAGCTAATGATATTAGAGGTGATAATTGGGGAAGCTACAAAGATAGCTTTGGTATATATGGTTGTGACTATTTTCTTCCACTATTTATTCTGAGGAAGTGGGTCTGGCCCACGAAAACTCATTATCTAATAAACCATCTTGTTAGTCTTTAAAGTGCTACATAGTCCTGTTTTTTGTTTCAGCTACTCTAGACTAACACGGCTATATTTCTATCACTGTTTGAGGTAGGTGAGATTGGGTTTTAAAACCCTTCACTATGGGCAGGCCTGGGGCTGTTTGGGACACAGAGAGCTGGGATGTCAGAGGGGTTTTGCTCATGAGGCTTCAGGCTGGCCAGGCAAGCAGCTGAAGTGCTCTGTGGGACTGGCTTGTGGCCTATTTGGGAAGGGCCGCCAGTCAGGGGCTATAGAGAGCCCCGAGTTTGAGCAAGTCGCCCTGAGCGGGTGCCCTCAGCTGTGCCCAGACCTGTCCTGGTCCTTCACACAAGGTAGGAACAATCCCAACTAAATCAACCCAGCCAGGGCTTTGTCAAGCCAATACTTAATGGTTTTGTTATTGGCACTGAAATGCATTTCTGGAACAAAAACTATCTAAATTTAAACCACCAATGTTTTAAAGCACATTTTATTGAACACAGATGATGAAAACATGTTTCATTTTCTCTTTTTAAAGTAAGTTTGTCTTCAGTAGTTTAACGTACTCTGACAAATGTTACAATACTGTATTCACATCAAGCTTTCCAACAGATTAAACTCTCTCAATGGTTACTTAGATAACTTAATTACATATTCATTTTCTTCTGCCAAATCAGATGGTGTGATTTCTCTTAAACTACAGGTCACATTTAAAATGAAAAGTGCATGTGATACTTGTGAACTGACACTTGTGCTAACTGAGTAACTGATAGAGTAGGTAGTCATCCATTAATTTATATGGATCAGTATTAGAGATAGAAAGATTCATAGATATTTGCTGTCAAGAGAACTAGTCAGACCCAGGAATTCTAAGCTCTCATCCAGACCTTGAGGGATATTCTAGTGGTCATAGATCCTTCTTGTCCATTTCCCCACCAGCTTGATTTTTCTTTTTTTATTAATCAAAATCCTGTTTCTTTCCCCAGTGCTGGTCCTAGTTTTATTCTCCTCATTTAGCTAGTCTCGATGTCAACTCCTCAGTCTCTTTAACCAGCTATTACTAGTTAGATCTAACCACAATCTCATTATATTACTTGCCCAGCCAGTAATCCAATTCTCCACTATCCCAGCTGCTCACCAGATCCATTTTCCCTCCACTATATCTCCTTTCCCCCAGTTCACTGGTTCCCAGTCTCAATCTCTTTGGCCAACTAGATCTTGTCCACCCCTTAGTTTCTCATCTGATGCCTCTCACGCTCTCTTTTAACCAGACTGTCCACCCCTTAGTTTCTCATCTGATGCCTCTCTCATGCTCTCTTTTAACCAGATTTTAAATTTCCACCATCTTAGCCCCTCTTCGCCTTGTCTTGGGCCCCTCCCCAGCTGAGTTCGAAACTAGAAACCTAATATTCCATTATTATAGTTCGAGTTATTTCTACAAAAGAGCAACAGCGCCTCAATGTTCTAAATATGCAGGTGCTGGATAGGATCTAAGGCTGGAGGCGGGGCAAAAGAACAATGCTGAAACACTTTGTATAGTGGGAGTACTGAAAGTGGATGCGTTCTGTGTGTGTCATCATTACTGCTTCAAGCCATTGGGGTGCAGCAGCACTCCTCTCACCCTTAGTTCCAGCATCTCTGCAGCAGAAACGTGGCTTGGAGTGAGGTGAGCACAAGGAGGCACGGAATCTGAAGAAGTATGTGCTGAGGAGCCAGAAAACTACTGCTGGGCTTACAAACCAGCTTGCTAGCTTCCTCAATTAATCATACACAGAAAGAAATGTAACAAGCAGCCTAGTGGACTTAAGTGATCAAAAATAAGCAGGTCCAGTTGTAGGGCTTTACTCCTGACATCTCCAAATAATTAAGAGGATTCCTTTCAAACGGAATGATCTTAGTAAGCAGGATGACCAGGTAATGGCTATGCAGAATGTTGTGTTGATTCTAGAAGCTGCAGCGATACTCACAGCAGGCAGTACCACCCACTGTGCCAGTGCAATCACATACATGTCAATTGTAAGTACACTGACCAAAAAAAAAAAGATGAAAATCTAGTGCATTCTAAGATCACCAAGGGAACTCTATACTGGGAAAAAGCTTTGGCTGTTCTGATGAAGCACAAACACACATCTTTGAAGGTAACAAGACACAGCCGTGGGTAGAGGTAGAAAGCTATCTTGTATGTCCTTCTTTGCCTCAAGCATCATTAAACAACTGGCATAAATGCTATGGAGGCTGCAGTCAGTTGCAGTTTATCTTTAAGCTTTCAGAAGCTGTGGGCAAATGGGAAGGTCTCTCAGGATTTCAGAATGCCTGTTCCTGTGCAGTACTTAGGGGGGATATGATAGAGGTCTATAAAAATCATGAGTGGTGTGGAGAGGGCTGATAAAGAAAAGTTATTTATTAGTTCCTATAATAGAAGAACTAGAGGACACCAAATGAAATTAATGGGTAGCAGGTTTAAAACTAATAAAAGGAAGTTCTTCTTCACACAGCATGTAGTCAACCTGTGGAACTCCTTGCCAGAGGAGGCTATGAAGGCTAGGACTATAATAGAGTTTAAAGAGAAGCTGGATAAATTCATGGAGGTTAGGTCCATAAAAGGCTATTAGCCAGGGGATAAAATGGTGTCCTTGGCCTCTGTTTGTCAGAGGCTGGAGAGGGATGGCAGGAGACAAATCGCTTGATCATTGTCTTCGGTCCACCCTCTCTGGGGCACCTGGTGCTGGCCACTGTCAGTAGACAGGATACTGGGCTAGATGGACCTTTGGTATGACCCAGTACGGCCGTTCTTATGTTACTTAATCACCCCAAAAGTATGTACTATTATACATCAAGTCTATTCTGAGGTGCTATGCCAAGTGAGTCAATTCTTCATCATAGCACCTGGGCATCACCGCACCTCTGCATGTTTAGGAGTCAGGAAACTTTGGGGTCTAGCACATCAAATTTATACTGAAGTAAGCAACACAGATAGCATCAACCAAAAGGTGGAATGTTTAATTGCGTCAATTGACTCTTCTTCATTTGATGCTTACCATGTAATAATATGCATGAGACCTTCAAAATGTGTGCAATGGAAGGAGAATTTTACAGGTTATAAGCTTTCCTCCAGAAAAGGGATAACTAACTGAGACACTGTGAAATGGGTATGATGAACAAGTGATGACTTTCTCAGAGATGCCATTGTTGCTGCAGCAACATCCGAGATCCATACAGGAACCTCCCAGGAAGCTCCTCCACATTCAGAAGTAGAAATGAACTATTAATTGGGGCACTAGATTATTGGCTACTGTTTCCATAAGGGCTTTGGGGCACTAGATTATTGGCTACTGTTTCCAATTACAATAGTTCCTAAGGGCCCCCATAGTACTATAAACCATAAAACATTGAAAAGACAATGAGCACAACTGCAATAAAAGGAACATGCTCTTCACAGAGCCTCTAGCTCCAGAGTTTTAAAGATATGGAAAACTCCTTCCCCTCAGTTTGTATTAGTAGCACAACTCAAGAGCAAGGATCTGTAAATTTGGTATTAACTTGGTTAATTACACTTACATTTGGTTAATCTCATGTTTCTGACTTCTGTTTCAACTTCAACCCAGGCTGTAAAATATTCTGTAAGTGCAAACAAATTATCAAAAATCTAGTGCCTCAATTATCAGTTTGTTTCTACTTCTGTAGATGGATGGGTTTTCCTAGGGATTCCTGCATGGATCTCAGATGTTGCTGCAGCAATAATGGCATCTCCAAGAAAAGTATCCCTAGTTCATCAGACCTGTTTCACAAGGTCTCAGGGAAACTTATAACCTGTCTGGAATTAACAAATGAATTAAATTTTAAATTGGACAAAATTTTAAGTTCTCACCTGTATAAGATATGAGCCACCTGGGTCTACATTCACAGATTCATTCTGCACTGTATTCTGTAGTGTAATAGCATCTTCCCTCTTTCGCTCCTTCTGTCCTGTTTCATCATCGTCATACTCATCTAGACTCTAAAAATAAAATATTCAGGTGTAAATATTCAGGTGTGTGTAAAAAAAAAGCTATTTCATGTTTGTGAATTGTACACAACAAAAACTGAAGCAATCTATGAAGTTTATATGTCAATATTAATAAATACTTTCAAAGGTTAGTTCAAGATTTATGTATTTTGATTAAATTAACACAGCATTTTGATTCTATATTGGTCAAGCTAAAACAGTTTAAATATAAGGATCAAGTTTGGGAAACTGAGTACATACTTTATCTTTACTATTTAAAAAAAATGTTAATTCCGTTCCTCCCCCAAAATTCCCAATTATCTTGAGCAACCTTTGTAGGCCTATATAAGATAGGGATGTCAGTGGTTAACCAGTAAGAATCACCAGTTACTGGCGCCCTGGCTGAGCTGGAGCAGTTTCATGCCTAACGCAGCTGTGCAGAGGCTGCCCCTTTGGGAGCAGGGGGAAATCGCCTAGTCGACTACGCGTTAACATCCTTCATCTAAATTACCACTAATGAGAGTTTTTCTTCTTATAGTAAATGCTACAGGACCAGAGCATTAAAACTTGAAGACCCAGCATTATTCTAATAATTCATTCTGATGAAACACATGACTAAACAAAATAAACCAAAATAACTGAAACTAAAAGGAGAAAGGAATTAATCTTTAGTTCTTACAAACCTGGACTTCAACTAAAGGAATTGTTAAACTGAAACAAGATTTCTCAAATGAAGTGAAGATTAGTGTCACAGTGGATGTATAATATTTTACTTGAAAAATAACACAGATTAAAACTCAATGCAGATTAGGCCCCCCACATTTCAAATAATTCAAATAATAAGGGAAAACCCTTTATTTCAAATTTCAAAAGTTGAATTTAGAGATTAGAGTGAGGAAATGTCTCGATCTATCCTGCAATAAATCTTAAAATTATTTAAAAAACAAAAACAAGCAGAAGGTAATATTTCAAACAAACTATATAGGAATTAACATTTTAAAAATGTTATCTGAATTTACATGAGTATTTTTAATAAAGACTCTAGGGAGACAAGTTGCTATTTCAATCAGGAAAAAACCTCATCTACTTCAACTTCATCTTAAATGCATTTATAATTTAGGTTTTGTAGCAATCATAGTGAGATGAAACTCCCCATCACCACCAAATATCACTAGCTCTTCACTGAAAAAGGTTTTTGTCAACTTGCTACTGAGAATTGGATTGAAAAATACTCTTAAAAGTTTTGGATATCAACATCTCATTCTTGATTGGTATGGAATTCTCATCTTCAAAATTTTAGAGAAAAATATTTTAAGTTACTAGCACACTGATTGAGCAGTACATCTCTTCCACCCCCATCACCACTCCTATGAGTTCAGAGGACACACAATAGCAACAATAAATCAACGTTGTCAACGTGAATTACACTCAAATACTCTAAATGCGATTGCAACTGAACTGTGTAGCGTCACAGACTCAGTCCCTGACAAGAGAGCAGCTGTGTAAGCTTGACACTGGAATTTCTACTTTGAGCGGGGACTTCCCTCCCCTGCAATTAACAGGGCAGAACCCATAGACCAGCATATGCTAAGGCAATTGCAAGATGAGCAGAGCCACAAAATGCCATGGTGACCTATAATTGCTTATAAACACACTAAAAGAAGTTTGCTGAGATCCACCTGTGAAAAGGATCATCTACTCCTCATGGTTCCTTAATCCAATAAAGCTTGGTCCTTGGCTGACAAGAATTGTTGTCTCTGCAATCGACAACTTTCAAAAGTTCTTACAATATGGTCCATACTCAAAAATACACTAGCTGAAAACCATAATAGCATGCTGGCATAAATGTAACATTTAGAACTATTTTCAAAAGTATTTATGAAGAGCTATTCTTAGCTTTTCATTCTAGTGACCTTGGTCCTAAGTTTTGGAAGTAAAATATTGTGTTATTTACTGACAAAGTAGTAGATTTAATTAACAAGGTATTAGTGAAATATACAAAAATCTCATCACAGGCTGTTTTAATGGTCAGACTCTCTTACTGATGTAATTATTTCTAGACCATTAGGACATTTCAGTCAACTGGAGTGTTGTTTTGCCTTGCATTCCATTCTACTCTGAAATAGTTTGCTTTGCTTCTTAAACCGGTTTCACATCATTAAGCACAACAAACACAAAAAGTCATCTCTCTGTCAGCAGTATCAGAGTGCTGAACTCATAACCACTGAGGTGTAATGCTGATGAAAAACTTTTCTTTTTTAATTTTGCTGCTCAATGCGAGGCATTTCAGATCTCTAAAAAATGTGTTTTCCATTCAAATCACTAGTGTTTGGCTACAGCTGATATTCAATGTGACATGTGAACATCTGATCTTAATACAAACCATCCACAGAAATTCCTTAGGTTTTCTAGCATTTCAATAAATATCTGATATTGTAATATAAACAGTTTTTCTATAAACCTCTACTGTGGAATATAAAAGTAAAATATTTTCAAGTGAATTAGAATGAAGAAAACAGCCATAACAACATTCCTGCACTCTCAACCTACTACCAGTTTGCAGCTGAATTTGATTTACTAAAATAAAAATTAAATTAATCTAAACTGTACACAAACACTTTAGCAGAAACACCATTTGCTGTTAAGAAAAAAACAATCCCTAATTGTTATTCAGTCGCTTCCACTAAAGGAAGAAGAGTCTCTTAACCACACCAGCTGACACTCAACATCAAGTGTGAACACATGGAATTGCAGAGTTCAAGCATCACTGTTTCTTATTTTGAAGCGTTTTCCACTTCCCAGTCATGAATACTATCACATATATATTTTAAGAATGCATCTGTCTGTTCAAGAACTCCTCCTAAACGGTCAAAGCTAGGACCACCAAATTTGGTATGCACCTTCCTCTTATCCTAGCTTAAAGCACGGTTAGGGTTTGGTTGTGCCAAACGGTTGTGAGACGATCTTCCATAATATCGAAATTTAGGGGCCATAGGACAGTGATACTGCAGAGTGACCACTGGGAGTAGCTGCAACACCAGGAGAATGGCCAGGTGGAGGGGCGCCCCACACACAACAGGTCCCCCCCCCCACCCCGAAGCTACACCTGAGTCCGGGAAACACAGCCAAACCAGGATGAGCCCCACCAAAGGGAAGCCAGGGCTGGGAACCGCATCCTACCTGCCCCTCCCCCTCCCACCCAGAAGAAAAACCCATCCACCCAGAGGCTCAGCTCAGGACCAGCTGCAGGGTGGGGAAGAGGAGATCAGGGGACAGCATCCAGACCCGCAGCTGGAGGGTGGGTGGGAAGGCAGCTGGAGGGCAGACCTGCAGAGCCAGCTGCAGTCAGGAGGCCAGCCTCTGGAGCTCTGCTGGCCCCTCCCCTGCAGGAGCTGGAAGGTGGGGACTGTAGAGTCCACCCTCCTCCCCAGACAAGCTGAAGGCTAGACAGAAGGGTTGCTGGAGGCACAGGGGAGGGACCTGCTTAGGAGGGGGCAGCCTGGAGGTCTGCCCCATCCTGGGCTAGCTGGAGGCCAGAAGTGGGTCTGCTGGTGGCCTCCCCACTCCTAGAGATTCCCTCTGCCCTCAACAGACTGGAGTCCATTGCTGGCCCCCACAGCCTCGGCTCCTGAGGATGAGCTGCTGGTCAAGGAGTTCAGCTCTGGCTCCCTGGGAGGGGCCATCAAGGGAGCAGAGCCACCCTCCCTGCTACGGTCAGCCCTGGTATGCTCCCCTGTGACCTCCCAGCCTTGAGCCTCGCACTTCCTTCCCCGTCCTGAGGACCCCCCCCACACACACACACCCCACCCCAAGCTCCTGCGCTCCCCAAACCTTCCAAGCCCACTGCCCTCACCCTCAACTCCTACCCTGAGCCCCCTACCTCTTACTGTAACTTCAGCACCCACCCACCACCTCCTGTCCTCGCTCCCCACACACTCAAATTCTTGCTGACTTCCGCATCCCCCATCCTTTATCTTGAGCCTCCCACATCCCAGACCCTATGCCCTGAGCCCCCCATCCCTCCCAACCTCTTCCCCAACTCTTCCTTCCATGTCCCGCACATCTACAAGCACTCCCTTCCACGAGCCCCTCCCCAGCCAACACAATCATTTAAATAAAGCACGTACATTTTCTTTTAATTCCCACCTGCTCCCCCCTCCCAAAAAAAATCCTCAACCATTACTATAGCTAAGGACCCAAGAAATAAAAATTAATTTCTTATTTAGGAGGCAAAACTTATCTGATTGTATAGATCTGGTTAGAGGAAAGCATTCATTCAAACACGTTTTTAATCTAGTAAAAAGTACAACGTATCAACAGCAACTTAAAATAATTTTTAGGTAGCAGGGTTCATTAGTGTTGACAATTAAGCAGGTAACTTCAGAAATGGGAGACACAGAACAGTTTTTTTCCTAAGATTCCTTTTTACCATGAAAAAATCAGCCCAAGCACTTGGCTACAACAGGATCCACTTTGGGAGTAACCAACATCTTGTTTCCTCATCTGATAATTTATAAAGCTTAGAAATTTTGCTGCAAGTGTGAAAGTAACACCTTACAAATCGCTCCTTCAGAAAAAGTCACCATTTTTCTTAGTAGTCAGCTGCTGAGCTGTCTGCTCTTGCACATCACAAACCAGGTTTAGGTGTGACAGCATGTTCAACTTCAGTCATAAGGCTTCATCTTCCTCTTTCAAGAGTCATGCGCACCTATGAAACTTAAAAACAAAAACAAACAAAAAACCCACCTCATACACTATTTGGGTATCGAGAACATTTTCCCCAAGAAAACCTTCCAAGGTAGTGGTGCCCTGGCAATTCCTGAAATATTTAGCTAAACCTGTAGCAATTGCTTTGCATTGTTAAAGAATTCTTCATATAGAGAGAACCCAACAGCTTTCCAGAATCAGCTAATCTACGCGCATCACAACCAATGAACAGAGACATCTCAGGTGTGAAATGTTCCAGGTGTTTAATAGAAAACATCAATGCTATGGAAAATGCTCAAATGCTG